AAGATGGAGAGGGAAAAAAACGGCACACGAAATCCACAACAAGAGCCAACCTACACATTGTAGTACAAAACGGTTAGAAGACCTTGACTTTTCAAGGAGACATCTAACCACAACCACGCGGCCGGTTATAGCCACTTGCTGTGGTACTTCAAGCCCAAAGGACCTACAAAGAGAAAATGATCATGTACATGTACAAGCCGTTTTGTACTACAATGTGTAGTTGACTCTTGTTGTGGATAGCTTCCACGCATTAAAACACGCGAAAGCTCATTAGTGTGGTGGATGTCTATCCTTCGAGCTCCAAAGGACCACGAGCCTACAAGTAACAAGAAGAAATAAGAAGAAAACGACTAAGCAGAAGAAGCAAAAGAAGAAAGAAAAGGGCACAGCGAGCAGCAGCCACCCAACTGCAGAAAGTCTACTTGGAAACATCGAAAGAGATCCGAGAGCCTCCTCTGGAGAACACGACTGCCTCCTGATGTACTACCGGTAATGTACAATTGAATCTACTATCGTTTGCAGTTATCTCTGTATTTTTCTATTTTTGCGAATTTATTGAGTGATTTTCATATTTTGCGCAATACTTTCTATATTTTTCCCATTTATTTACGACCTTTTACGTATTTTCTATAACCTTTACGTATTTTACCATATTTATTCGTATATTTTGAGTACTATTGTCGAACCTTCCTGAAACATATTTCCAATCACCATGTCAGAGCACGGATCAGATGATTACCAAGCACCTGAAGTTCTTGATAATGCTCATGCAAACATCGAGCCTTATAGACTGTGACGAAATATTTTCAATTGTCCCTGAATACGATGGCAACCCGATATTGCTTTCGACTTTTATCAACGCGTGTAGAACGGTGCACCAAATGGCTGTCGAGGAACAGCGTTTCCTCGTCGTCCTACATATAAAAAACAAACTGCGCGGACGAGCAGCAGAACTCGTCAATTCCCGTAATCCTTCGACATGGGAAGACATACGCTCTCTCCTTGAAACACATTTCGGAGATCTTCGAGATCTCACATCTTTAATTGCTGATCTGCAGCACATGCGTCAACTACCAAAAGAATCCCCACTAACCTTTGCATCAAGACTTCAAACTCACGCGGCGAAGATGCATTGAGCCGACAATCGACAAAACATCAACCGAGAGCAGAAAGCTGCTCAAAGTTCATTGATAGAGACTATGACTATAAACTGTCTCCTTACAGGACTAGATTCCAAAATTGGCCCGATTGTCAGACCAGGTCACCCAACAGATATCCTTACTGCAGTCGCTTTTATCAAGCGCGAACTACAATTATCATATCGTGAGAGACAAAAATTTTCTAGAGCTCCTAACTCTAATCAAAATTCTTCCATTAAGAAACCAGGTCCGAGAGTGTGCAATTTCTACCACCCACCAGGTCATTTAGCAAATGAGTGCCAGCAAAGACAACAGCTCTCACATAATATTCCGAGACCAGTTTTCCAGCCCCAATCATTTTCTCATCGAACTAACCCTAACCCTCCAACACAAAACAATAGGCCCCCCAATTCCAATCAGTATTATCACAGACCTTCTGTTATTAGGCCAAATGTTCCTAATACGAATATACCAAGACGTTCTCTTATACAACAGAATCCGAGCTTCCAAAACCCTAACTTCCAAAGAAGCTTCCGACCAAGCAATTCCACAAACCGAATCAACTACGTAGCCCCAGATTGCCACGAATAATCCGAGTACCCTGAACCCGACATTTACACTACAAGTTATGTCAGCGAGTATGGTACAGAAACCCAATACCCTGCTTACACCCCCTCGCAGTATGACGACTTCCCTGACCCTGGAAGCAATAACGATTTCTGTTATGAATACGATGATACCGCTGATTATAACTTGCAGTATCAGGATTTTCGCGAACGTTCTCCGAAAGAAGGACCGCCTGTGAAGCCCAACGACAATTCCGATCATATGATTGCGAGCTTGCATAAGCTCAATGTCAAACACCCTCATACAACGTCAACTCCCGACCAAATGTTCGTTTAGATAAACATATTACAGTCCCGTCGACAATTCTCTCCGTCAGCCCAAGCAACTTATACTACATCAACGACGCGACAGGAAAATTCAAAATCCGTATTGACAGTGGTACCGGTTGTTCCATTTTCAAGCGAAACACCTGCCAAAATTACACGAAACGTGCTGCCGAAAATATCTCCATCCGAGGTATTACGGACGAAAAAATTTTTATCACAGAAGCAGTTTTAGTTCCCTTTGCTCCCAACGATTACCACAAAATTTATATTCACGATTTAGATATTGCTTTCGATGGTCTTCTTGGTTCAGATTTCCTCGAGCACTACGATTGCATTATCGATTTGAAAAATCGTCAGTTAATCACAAAATTCAAAACCATCCCTCTTTTCAAAGTAGGTGATGAAGAAAATACAAAACTTCTGATTTCAAAGAAAATCTCCAAACTTCTAATTTCAAAGAGTATTCCCAAGTTCAAAATATCATCTCAGTCCCTCCTAGAGTTGAACAGGTTGTCAAGCTTAAATCAGAGCTTACAAATACCGAAGCCATTCTTCTGGCATGCGAGGTAGAAAAAGTCCGTCTACCCAGTTCCATCGTTAAACTCAATTCTAACGGCGAATTTCTCACTACAGTCTTGAACTGTAATGCCATTCCTAAAAATGTGATTCTGCCCAAATTAGAATTTGAACCCTTTAATGAAACGTCTGTAAACAATTTTAACATATCCCTGAAGAACAAGAGTCAGTATAACCGTAGAGATGCTATTCGAGATCAATTACGTCTTGAACATCTTAACGATGAAGAGAAAGAACTTATTACCAACCTTTGTCTAGAATTTTCCGACATTTTCTATTTAGATGGTGACAGTTTGTCATTCACCAACGAAATTAAACATTCCATTGACACTACAACCAACAAACCAATTTTTACTATGTCTTATCGCTACCCTCATATCCACAAACAAGAAGTGAAAGACCAAATTTCCAAACTGTTAAAACAAGGGATTATTGAACCCTCGAGTTCACCTTGGAATGCCCCTGTCTGGGTAGTCCCAAAGAAAATGGACGCTTCAGGCAAACAAAAATGGCGTATGGTGATTGATTACCGTAAACTTAACGGAACCACCATTGACGACAAATACCCGTAGCCAAACATTTCCGATCTTCTAGATCAATTAGGGAAATGCCAGTACTTCAGTACACTGGATCTAGCATCTGGATTTCACCAAATTGAAATTAATCCAGCCGATGTTGCCAAAACCACTTTTTCGGTTGAGAACGGACACTAACAATTCTTGAGGATGCCTTTTGGTCTCAAGAACGCTCCTGCCACATTCCAACGTATTATGGACAACATCTTGATGGGTATACAAAACGAAAGATGTCTTGTATACATGGACGATATCATTGTCTATTCTCCTTCCATCCAAGAACATATCACCAGACTTTCCGAAATTTTTAAACGTCTCCGAAACTCGAATTTTAAGATTCAGCCAGATAAGTGTGAATTCCTCAGAAAGGAAGTAGCCTATCTTGGGCACGTAATAACCCCTGATGGCGTTAAGCCGAATCCAGATAAAGTGGATTGTATACAAAATTTCCCACAACCCAAAAGTCCTAAAGAAATAAAATCATTCTTAGGCCTTGCCGGTTACTACCGACGCTTTATCCCAAACATTGCTAAAGTTGCGAAACCCTTGACTAGACTATTGCAAAAAGATGCAGTCTTCGATTTCGACAGCGAGTGTGTTAAGTCATTCGATACCTTGAAAAATGCTCTAACAACATCTCCTGTACCGATCTACCCCAACTTCTAAGAACCGTTTGTGCTTACTACGGATGCAAGTGCCTTTGCAATATCCGGCGTACTTTCCCAAGGACCTATTGGTAAAGATCTTCCGATAGCCTATGCATCTCGTACACTGTGCAAAGCAGAGACGAGGTACTCTACGATTGAAATAGAACTCCTAGCTATTATTTTGAGTGTAAAACATTTTAGACCCTATTTGTACGGTCGAAAATTTAAATTGGTCACAGATCACCGACCATTAACTTGGCTTTTTTCTTGCCGTGATACCGGTAGTAGGTTAGCAAGATGGCGCCTCAAGTTAGAAGAATACGACTATGAAATAGTCTACAAGCCAGGCAGAGCCAACAAGAATGCCGATGCCCTATCCCGCATTAAACTACCTACGAATGTTAACACCCTTAACCCTAGTGATAAAGAAGGTTCCCCTTCTACTCAATTTTTCGAAAATGAATTTGATGTATTTGCTCGCCTTTATAAAACCACCTCTTTAATAGAATATTCCAAAATTAAATTTTCTAACTCTCAACTTCTAGAAAAAAGCCACAAACACATAGTCACATTTTTCAGACAAAACACCCTTTCTGATCTTCATGAAAAAATCATCGAAGACATATTCGAAACCAATCTGGAGTTTTCTGCAGACAAAATTAACATCGCTTCTAGTCAGACTGTCAAAGATAGGAAATATTATATAATCCCTGTGCCGTTCGATCCTGCGACTTGCGTACAACATCTCTTCACCCTTATTTTAAATAACAAAGGTAAATCTAAGTCGAAAATAACCTAGATGTGCCCATCCAAGAAATATTTTCTTTCATATTTTCCGACGAAAATGTCAAAATTGTCATTTGTCAGAATGTAACTAAAACTCCAAGCCCTGATGAAATTCCAATCATTTTAGACCAATACCATTGTGGTAAGAAAAATATCCACAGAGGTATTAACGAAACTATCAGACGTATCCGTGAACGATACAATTGTCCTGGTTTGACTAAAGATGTCTAACATTTCATCAAGAAATGTGAAATTTGTCAGAAAACTAAAATCTGCCGAAAAAACCTCAGTACCCCTTTGGTTGTTACAGAAACTCCAAAAGCTCCATTGTCTTCGTACATACATCTGGTCGTCCCCCGGAACACGTCTACCTTGAAAAGGAACTGATGTCTAAATACCTTCGAGATATTCGGAATAAGCTCGAATGTTATTATAAAATAGCCCGTGCCAGAACGGACGAACAAAAGCAAAAGGCTAAGGTTCGTTTCGATAGCAGAGTATCACCGAACCTCCAAACGTACAAAATTGGTGACAAAGTCTTTGTCAAACAGTCCCAAATTTACAATAAGCTTCAAAATAAATTCGATGGATCATATGAGGTCATTCAAGTATTTGAAAATTCGGCATTGCTCAAAAATCCAGAAACAAACAAAACAACTAATGTCAATTTCGACAGATTGAAACCATGTTTTGAGACTTAGTTTCTCTTCCAGGTGCAGTCTGCTGTTTCTTGGGGCTGTTTGTACGGCCCAGATTTATTAAAATGATTTATTTTTAATTTTTAGATTCTCCATGAAGTTTTTAGTAACTTTTTTGTAATAAAGGGCTCATATAAACCTATCTTTAATCTTTGTGATGCTCTTTGAGTTTATAATATGATTTTAAAAATTTTGATAATAAGGGATATGGTAAAAATAATAACCAGTATAGCTCCCATAGTAACAAACAAGACTTTACTTTAAAATTAAACACGTCTCCGAATATTAAAAAAAAAACGAAAAACAACTTACAGTTTACACGCACAATAAAATATTTTGTTCGAATCTATTCCTCGCGTTTTTAAACATATCTTAATTTATTTGTCTACATTCAGCCGTAATCCAGAAACAAACAAAACAACTAATGTCAATTTCGACAGACTGAAACCATGTTTTGAGACTTAGTTTCTCTTCCAGGTGCAGTCTGCTGTTTCTTGGGGCTGTTTGTACGGCCCAGATTGACATCAAACCCATTAACAACACATTAGGTATTTACTTCCACGCAGATGGCCCTCTCAAAATTTCTAACGAAGTTTGGACACTACTCGTTTACAAAGATCTTGAAATGATCAAAAAGGCGCTCGACGATAACAATAATATCCTGGAACACTTAACCACTCTCGTAAATGTAAGTATTTAGAAGTGAAATTAAGACACATACGAGCCTTCTCTACCAAATTTTCCGTTCCTTGAAAACTAAATATTACGAAATTTTCAACGATACAACTAGCGCATCGCGAATGAAACGTGGCCTAATTAATGCCATAGGTACAATTTGGAAAGCAATAACGGGTAACCTCGATTCATCTGATGGTGAATATTATAACGACTGCATTAACAAAATTTCCAAAGACGAACATGAGCTTGAAAACCAGATGAAAAATCAGATCTCAGTAACCATGTCGGTTATTAAGAACTTCAATAATACTATTCAGAAACTGCAAATTAACGAAGACATAGAGGTTATTCAAAATAGAATTTACGAAATTTCAGATGATCTTGCCTTTTATGAAGCTAGATTTCAATTTTTGGAACTTTGCGAACATTTAATGGAAGGTTATATGTTTCTAGAAGAGAATTAACGATTTTCTCAATTCCATTACCTTTGCACGTTTGAAAATTATTTATCCTTCGATAATTGAGATTTAGGGAATTCTCTTCAAGAAATATCTCATTCCTTATCAAAAAACAATTTACCTATGCCAGTCAATTTAGCAACAGTGTCAGAATATCTCAATTTAATGGAACTTTCAAGCATTTCAAAGAAAAACAAAAGTAGTTTTCGTCCTACGCATCCCCTTGTTAGAACCTGAAGTTTACACTTTATACAAAGCGATTCCTCTAACCATTTTAGATGAACGTACAGGTCTATTTCATGTAATTTCTACCTTACAGAGATACGTTGCCAAAGATAGCGATTCTCTTTTGTACGTCTCCTTTCAAAATTTGGGTAGTTGCAAAATTCTCCAATCACAGGTTAAGATCTGTTTTAACCTCTTACCGTATCCAATAGACAACAATGCAGTCTGCGAAGCACAATTGTTGCGAAATTCGGTCGATCTGCCAGCAACATGTCAAATAGCCATTGTGGCTCTGCAGGATTATAAATTTCAAATTTGAATAAAATTTAACGGGTGAGCGTGAGCGGTGCGGGCGAGGTGGGGCAGTATCTTCAGTGTCTGGGAATTCAGTCGCCATGGAGTGTTTCACTGGAGCGGATCGTGCTTTTTGTGTGCGCGCGTTTTATCAAAATAATGATTCAGCAACCATTGCGCGGCGTAAATATCGAGAATACCACAATTTACACAATTTTACAAAGTGTCCAACAGCTCAAACGATTAAGAACTGGGTTGCTAAGTTCGAAGAGACTGGTTCGACGTTAGATAAACAGCGGTGGGGTCAACCAAGGACAACTCGTATTGAAGAAAACATCAACATTGTGGCACAGTCTGTTCGTCAAAAGCCTACCCAGTCTACTCGTAAGCGTTCCAGTGCACTAAACGTACCCAGAACATCTTTACAGCGGATTTTAAGGAAAGATTTACGTCTGCACGCTTACAAAATTCAATTAGTGCAGGAATTAAAAGATAATGACGCTATTCAGAGACTAAACTTTGCGAATGAAATGTTGAATCGATTTTCTTCGCTCAATAATGTGTTGTTCTCGGACGAGGCTCACTTCCATTTAAACGGGCATGTAAATAAACAAAATTGCCGTTATTGGAGCCCCGAAAATCCAAGGCGTAAGCATCAGAAGCCCTTACACAGCCCTAAAGTTACAGTTTGGGCTGCTATGTCAGCGCATGGCATCGTAGGCCCTTATTTTTTTGAGGACGACAGAGGTCGCGCATTAACTGTTACTTCGGAGCGGTATGTAGCAATGATAGAGGAGTTTTTGACAACAGCGTTGCAGAATTTTCCAGGCTATAAAACGCAGACCTGGTTTCAACAGGACGGAGCAACTGCCCACACCTCCAACACTTCTATGTCCGTTGTCTGTCAACTTTTTCCCAGCAAAGTAATTTCTCGAAGAGGAGACATTTCCTGGCCACCACGTAGTCCAGATTTGACCCCAATGGACTTCTTTTTATGGGGCTACCTCAAGAGTAAAGTGTACGATACCACTCCGCGATCAGTTGATGTCCTGAAAGAAAATATCCGAAGAGAAATGGCAAGCATTACAGTGTTGACTTGCCGCGCAGTCATCGACAATTTTAGACGTCGTTTATATGAGTGCCGTGATCGTAATGGATTGCATTTAGACGATGTGATTTTTAAAACATAATTCCCATTCAATAAAGATGATAACAAAATATAATAATTCTTCATAATGTAACTAGTTTGGTTTTAATCCTTTTTTTCCAGCTCAAAGGACTTATGAGCCACCCTGTAAAATCCAGGAATTAGCAACCAATTTTTGGTTGATTACCATATCTAGCCCGATGCCCATCACAATGAAATGCGGACAACATGAGACAACTACAAAGGTGATCAAAGCTAATACACTTTTGAAAATGCAGCCAGAATGCAGTGGATTCATAGGCACTACAAGGCTTCATGCCAGATATTCTGTTAACGCTTATAAGAATATCACTTATAAAAGCCACCCTGTAGGGATACCCTACGAATGCTGCAATCATCTCCCTGATAAACAAAATTTGCCGAACCTGAAACCGATCAAGCTGACCAAGATCGATACAGAAGAGCTAGAAATCACCAACCACAAGTTCAACCAGTATTCAGAACAACTTGACAAACTTATTAATGAGCCTTTTGTTTCACGACATATCTCCTGGTTTACGTACGTCGTCATAACCCTGCTAGCTGTCATCTTAGCCCTCTACATCTTCTGCAAGAGCAGAAAACGCCTACCACTCAGTATTTGTGCATCAAATTACCCAGCTGATGGACCGTCACCAGGAACGTCGAAAGTCAGATACATCCCCAGGCTTTTTCCACGTCGAAGACCAACCATCCAACCCCATGAAGAAGAAGTTGAACTACAGTAGTGTTCAGTGAGTGAAAAGTTCCAATTGTGAAAAATCAATATTCCTTTTCATTTTTAATGACATTTTTGTACGCCCTGCTTTTAACGTTTTGTTTCAGCATTTACTTGTTTATGCTAACAATTTTATGTTTCAGAATCTATATTTTCTGATGTTATTTTGCAATTTTATTACTCCTACTTTTATATTTTATATTTTACAATGTTTACAATTTTACGTTTCTACATTTTTACATTTTTGAATTTTTACAACTTTTACACCTTTCTAATTTTGTCAAAAGTTGTCGTATGGCAACAACTTTTTGTAATAGGGGAAGTTGTTATATGCACTCACAATAATGGACTTACTATTCCATACAATGTTGCATCAGACGATTGTTCAGCAACAGATAACGACTTCCCGCTAACTCGTTGCTTACGCTTTGTTTTCCAGAAGTGCTTTGTAAGCATACCAATAGTATAAATAGGCCTGGCGCCCATTTCATGTTATTCAATACCCGGCTAGTCACCGTAACAGTCACTTATGTAAACTTTGTGTTCAATACCCGGCTAGGCACCGTAACAGTCACTCATGTAAACTTCGTGTTCAATTGTAAACGTTTGTAACGGACAGTAGTTACTGTCCTCAAATATTTTTTTTAAAAGAAAAGTTGAATTTAAATGATATAACATATATATATAACTCAAATATCTTTCTTCAACGAAAACGTTTTTAAAAAGATTTATTTTTGAGAAAAACCAAATACAATGATGTTAATTGAATGAGTTCTGAATCGAGACTGACTGCAAAGTTCATTATACAAACCAAAGTAAAGAACAAATGAAATACAATACTGTAACTGATAAGAAAGGAACGTGGAGGCAAAAGTCCTTGTTCAGCATATTCTTCTCTGTAGACTGGTACATAACTCCTCCACCCCTAGAATGAAGCTACCCCTGGAAGGTGAATTTCTTTCTTCTTATATCTTGAACTGGAATCTTCTCTTCTAGTGCGTTTTGTGGGACTTGGACCTTCTTCTTTCATCTCGGCTAATTCAATGTCGATTTCTAACTTGGATGCTTTCTTGTTTCTCCATCTTCTATAAAAAATTATGCAGCAGATGCTTGAAAATACGAGATGTAGTAATATGGTCCAAATACTGGGTTTTCCAAAATTTTCTATGGAATTTTCTTCTAAAATTGGTAACATTCGATTAACTTGTAATTCTGGTAAATTTAACGTTTTCAGAGTAATTTGTGTCTCTGGGATATTTTGTTTCATGTAATGGAAATCCATTTTGTCAGCTACGAGGGGCTTTCCATAGGTTTTTGTCTTGAAAGATAATTTCATTGTCTTGGAATGATATTTGGCATTCACTGGCTTTGACTAAGAAAATGCCAAGTAATGACTTTGTATCGATTTGCTCCTTGCATTTAATTTTCAATTTTTCTTCGGTGAGAAATACAGCTAAATACTGGTTAATTTCGGGAATAAATTCGATGTGATTTCCTTCAATCTGAAGCTTCGTGTATCTACATGGCTCTGTATGATCTTCTGTAATTATTGACTTCTCGCATTGGGCTTTGTGATTGGCTAGTATACGATTAGGGCATTGATAGATTCTACCTTGGGTACAAATCTCGTGCAGGGGTTTGATCTCATTTCGATCAGATTTTAGCAAATACTTATAATTTGGGATAATAGTGACGAATTCTGATTTGTGCATCAGAGTCGGTATAGGTAACATATAATAAAGATCGAAATGTTCAGGATAATCTATAGTAATAGATAGAAAATAACTTATTTGATTCTCATCGATTTTACAACTGATAGAAATAATAGATTCATAATCTAGCATATTTTCATACTTTACTTCAAATGGTAATTCATTTTTATAAAATGTGGATATCTTACGGAGTTCTTGAAATAATTCTCTAGTCCTTATTATACTGGGATGCATGGTTTTCAATTTGCAAAAAGTTATCGAATTTTCGATATCTTGTAAAATA